TTGAGTATTAAAAACTGACAACTTAAAATTTTTTTCTGGTAATGTTTTAGTAATTTTGATAAAAATAGATATATTTCATGCAGTTCAAAAGGAAATACTTCTAAAATGTGTATTCATAGAAGAAGAATAAGGGAACATTCTTGATTTTTTTTTTTCCCCAGGATTATGGAAGAATGATTTCTAGCATGAAATCAAGAATGATTTTACTGTTAAACTCTTGTGCTAGAGTCTAGAAGTTGTTCATATCTTTTCTCCTCTCCTTAGATATAGCTAAAAGAGGGAAAAAGAAGATCCCGTTACAAATTTAGAGCAGCCGCAAGAGAGTGGAGAATTCCGACTCAAAATTACTTCCACTCAGAATTCTTGTAGATGTTTTTGCCTCAAATAGGGAAGTAAAATATTTACTTGGGTTTAGCTTGATAATGAAATTTGACTTTATGCCACAGATCACCTCTCCAATTTATTGGTGATAAATAAATTTTAATTTATAAGTTAAATTTATTCATTTAGCACTGTAAACATTTGACATTTATGTTCAGAGATAAGTGAGTGCATACGGAAGCCATGGGGAGGAAATGAAGAATGAGTGGATTTAAGAGTTGAGCCTAATGGTATATAGTTGATACGGAGAGATTTGCTGAGGTTTATATAGCTGTTGGATGGAAAGTAGAAAGCATAGTAGATGCAGAAAAGGGGGGATGCCTGAGTTCTAGAGAATATGAATGAGAGGACTTTCAGGTACAAGGACTGGAAATAAAGTTAAACAAATTGTTGTTGGTAGACAGAGTCAGTCTATTAAATAGATTAAATCATCCAAAAGAAAAAGCTGATAGACTGAACTCGGTACTGTGATAAGTAATCTCTATTAGAAAAATGTTTTTTTAATCTCATACAATTCCTGAAACTCTCTCTTTGCATGTTGTTTGAGATTTTATGAAAAATGTCATATAAAAATATAAACATTTACAGTTACACTATTTTGTGATTAAACTGGTTAAATTTTTCAATGTTGTGTCACACAGTGGGCCTAAACGATGAACCCAACAGACATTTTAGACTGAGAGTTAAAAAAGCTTTAAAGATAGCATTCACACTGGCATTGGATAAGCTGTTGGGCCTGTTACCACCAGTGCAAGACTTCTAAAACAGAAGCATGGCATGCAGTCAGCGACAGCCTTGATTTCACAATGATTTTGATTTTGCAGGTTGGGACAAGATATTGGAGGTGAAGGTTTAAAAAAGGAATAAATTGTTCCTTTGCTACCGCCTCACATCCTACCGCCTCACTCTTTTTGGAGCTATCTGAACTCCACAGCTCTCAAATCCACTCTTACAGGGATGTTTATTATATTTCAGTTGCAGTCTTTTATTTAAGTAGATGATTACCAGTGTATTTTGGCAAAGATTTTAAAGACAATACAAAAGTAAAAGTATGAGCATAACCCAAGTGTAATTGGATGTAAGATTACTCTGTATTTTTAATTATTCTGTGCATTTTCAATGTTAGAACAAGTATGGATTATTTTCACAAAATAATTTTGAATTCTCCAAAATCAGTTGGAAAGTCTGTCAAATATATTACTTTATTTAACAACATTGGATTTGAAATGCCAAGTCCAGCGGGTACCTCCCCTGATCTTACTCAATTCTTTTGTGCCTTTGACTTTGCTCTGTGACCTCCATAATAATGTGCCCTGCTGCTTTTCTCGTCTGCCCTATTCCTCCTCTGTGGTCATTGCCTGTGCCTTTTCCTCAACCTTGTACCTCCATGTTGGTTTCACTAAGGTCTGCCTTCATCTAGTTTCTCTTTGATATATCTTCCATTAGGAAATATATTTGTTATTCTAAGCCATTTGCAACCACTCCTTATTCAGTATTTTCTTTTCCCTTACTTCCTAGACCTAGTTGGTCTGCAGATCAGTTTAGTTCAGTGAACATTTGAGTCTGACTGTATACCAAGCTTCATGAGAGCCATAACGTGCTGTACTTTAGTGCCTCGAGCCAGTCCTTAACAACTCAATTCACTACCACTAACTTTGGTCAGGCTGCAGTCATTTCTCTTTTGGACACTACCAATCAGCATATATGAACTGAGAATTCACTTTGTGCTTAATAGCATGCTGTGTACTAGGGATACAAATAATTAGGTTTACATAGTAATGAGAGCAACAAACACGTGTGTGCGGTAGAGGTTACATATATGTATACATATTGGATCTCATATTATTCCATAAGAGTGAATTATATTAGATCTGTGGACAGTTTTGTGTTGGGTAAACAAGCAGTCTCATCTACAGAGAGTCAACTCAGGATGAAACCAACACAACAATACCACATGGAGGACTGCCTGTAAGCTTCGTTCTCATACTGTTGTTATTTTTGCCTCTCTCCTATCACCTTGTCTTGCTTCCCAGTGTTTGATAATTATTATTGGAAAGCTACCAAGAGTGCAAGATTGGGTTTTATTTCATCTGTGGGAGATGTTATCAACAATCATTAATGGAATGGTTGTATAAGAGACTTGTAATTGATAAATCAGGTGCAGAAGTGGTACTGGAGGAATCCATTGTGAGTAGGTGAGGGAAGACTTTATAAAAAGTTAGCTACTTGAGTAGGGCTTTCTAGCAGGTGAGACACGAGATTCTAAGAAGTAGCATGTATAAAAGTATCAAAGTTCTAAGAAGTAGCGTGTATAAAAGTATCAAAGTACGTATTGGTAACTCTTAGCCCTGACGTATAAAGTATAATTGATAATTTCTTAGCCCTGAAGTATAATAAAAAAAAAAAATAAATAAACAAGGAAGGCTTTAACTGGAGGAAATGAAGCCAAAGAAATAGAGGTTGTTTAAACATCAAGAAGGACTTTGTTTGCTAGGCTAAGCAACATGGATTGTTTGGAGCTACTGAAAGGTCTGAATCAGAGAGGTAACATGGACTTGCAATTTAAAAAGAAGTGCTATCCTCAGTGACAACTGGCCTGCATGCCATCCTGTCCATGTAAAACCCCAGCTGAAAATTTACCATTTGTATGATGAGACTTGCTGTTTCCACAAACACTTTGGCATCCCACACGACACTCCATCACTGTATTTGTGTCTGTGCTGAAATATCTCATTAGAGACTTTCTGTGGCCTTAAGAACCAGTACCCCATCACTCATTATTAGTTCCTTATCTTGATTTTTTTCTTAACACTTTTAACAGTCTGATAAGTTATATGTGTATTCACATATATTTCTATGTCCTCACACTGGGTTGTAAGCTTCTTGTGAACAGGAACGCCAATAAGTTTTGTTCATGGCTAAGTATTTTGTGCTTGGCACGTAGTAGATGATCAGTATGTGTTGAAAGGATGTGGTCTTCTCTTGTACCCTTGTTCTCCCCACTTCAGACAGGGCTCTCTGTTCACAGTTCACCAGCCCCCAGCTATGCTTCTGAAATCCTGATTCTTGTTCAGACTTCATCTCAGACACCATCTTTTGTAAAAAAAAACAAACAAAAAAAAAAAAAACAACTTTCTTTCAAGCAACTTACTGCTTGAATATGTAGAAGAGTTGTCCTGGATTGTTCAGGATATGGTAGGTGCAAATAGCGATTTGTGATGACAAATTGTTGATCAGTAGAGAATTATTCAATGAGTAGACATGCATTATAGGTAAAAATTAAAATTCAGTTGATGAGAGAAATATAGTAATTAGCTGTAATTTAAATTTAATTATAAGTCAGTAAGATTAAGGGGAAATAGCTAGGGAGACAGTTACCAATTTTTTGTTACGTGATTATACAGATTATGCAAAGTCTAGAGAAAATACGTCACTCTATCAATTTATTACTTATGTAGAAATGAACCTTTTGAAAAGAGATAAACAGGTTGAAGAAATAATTTATTGGGGACAGCATTAAACATGCTAAAATTTCATGTTTACGCTATCATTTGTTTCTTGTTTCAGTATTAATATAAATTTTGGATATATACATTGAAAACAGAAGTTTCTGGAAATGTTTTGATTTAATCAAATTATTAGTGCTTTGGTCATGTCAGTTTCTACTTTTTAAGATATTTCAATTTAATTTGAATTGTCAAAAATGTCTGTTATGAGATTTCTTTTTAAGACAAATGGAAAGATGCAGTGACATGATCTCAAAATTACTTCTTCAAATATCTTCCCTGTATATTTCATCATGGGTGTATGCCGGTCTATTGTCACTTTAAGTAATGAATTTCTGCTTTGAATTCCTGGGTAAAGCCTTTGTATAAAGTTACCTAATTTCTCATTTCTGAACCAGTATACTCCTAACCATAAGTCTAAAAATAAATATAAATAAACACAAATGGTAAAATCATGCTAGTTGTTGGACTTTCAAACTCCGAAGTAAAATGTGAAAGCTAGTAAGTGCAATTACTACTCACCAGTCATAAAAGCAAAATTTATCAATAATCACAGTTTAAAAAAAAGTCATTTATTCATTTAAATATTGGAGGATAGCTGGGGAACCTTTTGGAGGTGCCAGAAGGGTTTTGGAAAGTTTTCATTGATGGAATGAAAGTGTGAAATTTAAGAAGCTGAGGATGAGAAATACCAGCTTATTATTTAGGGTTACTTATCTAACATAAGTAACCCTATGTTACTTATGTATGTCAGCATGTTTTCTAGAGGTTATCAAAAGAAGCATGATTTTAACATAATGTTGCAGATTTCTTTTTTCTTAGTTGATTGTTTGGATAGAAATCACTGTATCACCATTGGTAAAAAGTCAATAAGGTGTTGTCTACATTTTCCTATGATGGTTCTTGAGTTATTAATAAATTATGAAGAATTTTGCTTTGTCCTTGTTTTTCTTAAGATCTGAAAAGATCATTTTGAAGGGACTTATATATAAAGTCTAAGTAGACTTTAGATGTATGTTTTATTAGAGAAATATTACAGGAGGTGCTGTAATGCAGTAGAAATTTTTGCTTCATATGTTTTAAGGGATTCATGGTATTCTGCTTATTTTTCAGTGTCAAGCCAATCCCAGCTGAAGGAATCAAATCAAATCCTTCCAAGCGACATAGAGACCGACTTAATACAGAGCTGGACCGATTGGCTAGCCTGTTGCCTTTTCCGCAAGATGTTATTAATAAGCTGGACAAACTCTCCGTTCTTAGACTCAGTGTCAGTTACCTGAGGGCCAAGAGCTTCTTTGATGGTAAGCTAGCAGGGTTAAATTTCTTATTCACCGCTTATGAAATACATATTTTGAATATAGCTGCCTCTGCTTTGGTGATGAAAACTGCAAAAATTAGCCATATGTGAAAAAGATTGCTGTATTTTAACACTTGACTCAAATCTAGATTTTTAATAATTCTATGAAGCAATTTTCCAGATTCATTCAAGGACTCTGCCTCTTAAATGTTAGTAACATTCTTTGAAAATCTTTTATTTGGAAATTATATCCACATTAAGAATGTTAGATTTCACTTCCACTTACACTAATGCAGTCTTTTAAAATCAGTCTTTTTCTCACTCTTTTACTCTCCCCCCAACCCTCTCCCTATCTGTTTTTAGGAATGTTAACTATTATATTTTTGCTGAATTTCCTTCAGTATGTTTTCATAGATATGTCATTTATACTTTCTGAGTTATGCACACTTCTTTTTTATATTAACTGTATGTTAATTTCATGGAATGCAATTTTAAATTTTTTTCTACCAGAAAGAGTATCTTAGTGTAGGAGTCAGTAGATTTGGATTTTAGTCTCCATTCTACCACTCACAAACTGTAATTTTATCCAAACCCAGTTAGCATCCCTATACTCCAGTTTACTAGTGAGTTTTACAGTTAAGATTTGAACTAGGTGATATTTATTACTTCTCAGTATATAGTGTTTCACTGTCATAAATATTTTTTTGTTTGAAAATATTTCTTTTTCATGTAAAATAACTCCTTGATTTCTCATTATGTCAGAAATTGATTTTTTTCACCAAATGTTCCATCTTTTAAATATGTTACTTTACAGTAGTAGTAAAGAATTAGTGATACAATCTCAGTGGCCTATGTCAGTGCTTCTCAGGCATTAACATGCTTGTAAATCACACAAAGATCTTGTTAAAACAAAGGTTCTTTTTCAGGAGGTTTAGGTGTGGCCAGTGACTCTTCATTTCTGACAAGTCTCAGATGAGGTTAATGTTAATACTGCTACTCTCGGTCACTAGGAAGTGCCCAGACACCACATTCAGAGATACTTGAATTTGTAGTTTGTGGTTAGATTAGTACAAAAAAAGTCCACTTTCTTTTATATTTGTATTTAGATGGTTTGATCTTTTTTGCTTTTTTATATGTTCTTTATTTGGGATATAGTTTAACAGTTGTGCTCTGGCCACAGACACTGATTTGAGGATAATGATTTAAAGGCAGTATATATGTTAAAATTTCATAGTGAACTCTTAGAATTTCTCTGACCTCTATAAAAAGTCTTTGAATTTTCATTTTTCATCTGTACCAGACCCTTCACCTTTGAAATCAGTTTTGTGATATTCAGTGGTATGGGTATTTATCAGGTATATTGTTACTATGTGATAGAGCTAGAAATGGAACCCATGTTTCTAGATGCCCAACGTTGTTTTTTCTGACAATATCTCAAAATTACTTTTCTGGGAACATTTTATATAGCAAAGTCCTGAGTGCTTTTCCCTAGACCTGAGAGGTTCTCAAAGTGTTGTTTACAGAGAAGTAGCATTAGCATCAGAATTACTTGGGAACTTAGAAAAGCCAGCTCTTGAGCCCCACCCTAGCTCTACAGACAGAATCTTAGACACTGGTGGTTGAACTGGACATGTTGTAGATTGTTAGCTTGAGGCCACTTCCAGCTTCATGGAATGCTTTCCTGATCCTCAGCATTTATCCTCATATGCTGTTTCCTGCTTTACCCTGTGGAGTGGGATTCCATGCATGTAATATGTCATCTCTGCCCTTAGAGAGTTCACAGTCACTAACCTGGGAAACTTTATCCTTGACTCTGGTAGAGATTTGTTGACCTGAATTTTGCCTCTTCATTTCCTGCTCCTTTATAATGGAAAATCAAACTCTATATGTATTAAAAAGCAAAAAAAAAGTGTGGGCTGTTCACTGTTTGAAATAGTAGGGCAGAACTGAACTGAAGTTGCTTAGAGAGTAGTCACTGTGCCATTTAAGTACTAAATTATTGCCTTCTAGGCATTGTATGTGTACATTTAATGTGCACATATACTTATTTATGTATGATTAGATATGTATGTCCTATTTAATTCCACAGTAAAGGACATACCAAACTCTAATCAGTTTATTTTTTTGTTTTGGTTCAGTGTATTTGACAATAGGATCTTATTACCATATTTGTACCATTCCTTCTCTAGTTATGTTATTTTAATTTTAATCTTTTACATTACTGCTGTTTAAACTTCAATGTCCTTATGGATAACCTGGAAAGCTTGTTCACAGGCACATTTTAGGGCAGGCATGCCCCTCTTAAAAAGTCGATTCAGTAGATTCTGTGTAGAACCAGAGTCTGTATTTTAATTAGCATGCTAGATGAATCTAAGGCAGTGATTTAACCTGGCCTGGAGTATACCCTGAATTAGTTGTTTATTTTTTAATTGCTTTCTTTGCCTTCAGAAAGACAAGACTAATGCACAAAATTTTAGGAAGATTATAAATGTGTTTACTTGAAAGGCATGTACCTTAAGGAGTTTATTAGGTTGCTTAATATAGAAATAGTTAGATGGAAACTGAGAGAAATAATCACAAAAAAAAAGGTTCCAGAGTCTTCTGCAGATGCCAGTGATGTCTCTAAGATTGCAATACAATATTTGAGAGAACACAGAGGATGAAATTTTCAAGGTAATCCTTAGGATCTGGTAAAATAGTAGATGGAAAGGATGGGATGGCCAGTTATTAGAAGTTTTGTGTGCCATTAAAACCACTCTCTCACTAATTGGGAAATGGTATAGCCAAGTCAAGGGAAGCTCTAAGAGAATAACAGGATGCAAACAGGGGGTGTGTGAATTCCTGCGGAAAGAACAATATAAACGAGTAATCATACAATCTTGTTAGAAAGGAAACTCAAGTTTTACTGTAACAATAGATATTTTTCCAAGAAAATACATCTATTTATTGCTAGTTTAAATAATCCAACTTGGATGGATCTTCTTAGATTTGGGAGCCATGACTCTTCTGTGACTGTCTGAAAAGCAACACTTAAGTTCCAAGTGCAACATTAATATTTGCCCATCTCTGATTAATCAAAACATTCTAAAATGTAATTTTGAAGTACTTTTATGAAACTAAGTCATTTTTCTTCGGACATGGTAAAATTAGGAACAGATTCTTTGACTGGATTAGGTGAAAATATTTTATGATAAAGTTTATAATTCAAAATTCTGCTTTATTCTAAACACTGTGAGGGACTGAGTTTACACAGAAGAAAAAGTGAGAAAAGATGGACATATTTTGATATGTTTAGGATTAATAATAATAAATAGAATAGTAGAAACTGAATTCTATTCAGTTTCCTCAGTAACACTGCTCTTCTGTGTTCTTTCCTACTTCTTCCTACTCATTTTTATTTTTTAAAGACTAAATTATGTCTTTGAAGCATTTCTGCAGTCTTTTATGTTTTTAGAAAACAACACAACACAAAATCCCAAATTGCTGTTTTCTCATACTGGCAGTAAATGAAACATTGTGGTGAAAGTGTAATTTTTGACTCTCAAGATAGATTAAATCAAACTAGTGGGGTACCTGAGGAGAGCTCACCCGATCAAGTAGAAATACAAGCTGACAAGTCAGTGTGAACTGATGTTCTAGAAATACAGATTGAAAGCCTGTGTTTTCATTCCCTAAAATCCTTGTTATTACCAGTATGTTCAAACTTTTCAACCAAATTCCAGAACGTAAGATTAAAGTATTTTTTTAATTTTAAAAAATGCAGTGCCTATGAACAGGAACCATATCACATTAATGCAAATGTGTTGCCACTGAGATGGAAAATACTCAAGAGTTGAAAAAATTAAATGACTACAATAAATAGTTTATTAAAGGAAGGCTAGTACTTAGATGGTGATAATTTAGCTTTTGAAATCCATTGATGTTATGGAAAAGGATTGTTTCCTTCTAATTGTGCCTCTTAGTGACGGGATCAAACAGTGGACACTGGGCTTCTTGACCAGTCTGAATCGGTATGGTAATGTTTTGCTGTTACTGAGAGTAATTTCAAAATACAAAGTATTTTGAATTAGATTTCATTATCCCTTTTTAAAATATTCATCACAGTGAAAGTACTATCTAAATTACTCTACTTTTTGACAACAACCCCCAAAATAAAAAATTTGGGAATGACTAATACATATTTTCTGTTTAGAACAGATAATTTAAAGAGGTGAAAAAAGACAGAAAAGTTTTCTTTTCAGTGACACTAGATGCAGCATGGAGCACTTGTGCATTCAGTAAATAGTCATAGTAAATATTGCACATTTAAAATTAGAAATCTTTTACATCTTCCATTATATCTGAGTCATGGTTGATTCTTTATGACAGCTTTATAATGGAGATGTATGAAGTTATGAAAAGAAAAATTTAGAAACCATAGAAAGTGGATTTTTTTTCCCTAGATTACATTGAGCCTGATGGAAATAAGTTTAGGGGTCTGAGTCTTTAATTCTGGAGTCCTGCATTGGCAACTGTTTTCAAGATAGTTTTCTGGTTATTTTGAAACTAGGAAAAGTTAGGGGAAATATAAGTCTTGAATCATTATGATACATGTTTTAAATTGCCACCATTTTATAAGATGTGATATTACATAAATATTGGAACATTTAAAATCAGTAAGTGTAAAAACACTATGGGAGAGAAGAGAATGACAAGAGATAAGTTAACATTGTATGATGATCTGACATTTATATGACCTTATTGTTTACATTTGTTTATCTTTGTTGACTTTCAAAATCCTAAGTATTCTTTTCTTAGTTGTCTTTGCAGATCCTTTAACAGTTCTTTTCCAGTTCATGAGGTTTTTTAAACGAGAACTATTCTGTTCATTCATTTTCAACATGCACATTTTTTTTTGGATTTCAGTCCTGTGTTGGTATCTGTGTAACCAGAACATTATTCTTTAAAAGCGAATATATAGCATAGACATGAATAATGCTAACAATGAGCTTGAATATGCTCACT